CCCACGAAGGTTTCACCGGGCATCTGATTAACGGGATGCGGGTCAGGAATGGAGGACTGGGGAACCTGACCGGGCGAAGAGTTCAAAGAAGAAGACCCGGTCGAGGAAGAGGAGTTGGAATTCTCAGAGGAGCAGTCCTCTGAGGAAGAGACCCTATCGCTAAGAGGAGACATGACCGGGAAAAGTATAGAAGGAAAGGGGAACTTACTTGACTCGGAGGGCTGGATAGCGGAGAAGGAACTTGACCGGTGAAAGCTCTGAGACTTGATCGCGGAAAGTGAGCAAAGAAGAGGGGTGGAGGCCTTTATATAGGAGGAGAGGAGGCCAAAGGGAGCGACGTGGCCACGCAAGAACATGCCACGTCAGGCGGCGCAATGATGGCGCATGGGGAAGGCGATGGGACGCGACTGCAGCGATGGCCAGCGTCCAACACGTGTCAAAACCGACAGTTGGAGTTTTGAATTTGAAATATTCGAGCGGGAAAAATTAGAAATTTGAATTTAAGAGTCCTGTTTCAGACTTTTTACTTCCCGCTCATGACAAATTGCATGAACGAGAAGTGGAGGGCCAAAATATGGGTGTATTTCACCCAAGACCGGTCAAAGGAGAAGGCCAAATCTTTGACCGGTCAATCTCGAAAGTTTTGGAAGGGAGACTTTAATCGTCAGCAAAACGATGTATCATCGGCCAAAATATGACCGGTACATTTCACAAAAAGTATACCGGTCAAACTACGTTGTCATCCCATTTGTTCCAGACTTCGATAAATTCATCCCTCGGAGATTACCCGGTGTAGTTTCTGGGGTTGGAATGTCTCGGCAGTGGAGGATCTGCGAGGGTTTGGCGTGTAGCGACCCGTGTCAGTAGAGGACAACTGGAGATGCTGAAGAATCCATCCAAGGCACTACTTGACAAAGGGAATGATCTCCTTCACAAGGCGATAAGGCAGCTTGAGGACGAAACCAGTCACCTCGCACCACATCGGCAGCATGCCCCCACGTGGGCGCACGTGGTCCTGTCCCCTTGACCTAGTATAAATACTCATGTAAACCTCAGAAAGAGGGATCCGAATTCACTCTCTCTAAACTCCCTTGTAAAAGCACCCGTGCATTCTCTGTTATAATATAAATTGGGCTACAGGTGTTCCACCTAAAGTCCTACCGGTCAACTTGCGTGATTTTACCTTTCTTACTTTCCCAAATCAAGCGAACTATTCTAGACCCGGTCTAGTATAGTTTGACCGGTCAAGTAATTTACACCATCAGTCACCATACCATACTATGTTTAAACAAACATTCTTTATGATTTCAACATCATCGAATAAATTTAAATATGGAATATATGTATTCTTTTTAATTAGAATTCTTTTTAATTTTACATTCTTTTCCATTTCATTTATAATAAAACTTTCAATGAATGAATAAGATTTCTTTCGTTAAAAAAGATACTCTCTTTGTCTCCAAATAAATTTTATTTTTGTTTATGATATTCTTATTAAATGAAGTTACCTTTTCTTTTATTAGTTTAAACATTGACGTAAAAATATAAAATACTCCTGTATATTTAAATCTCTAAATTAATATTTTATAAAACAAAAATTCACGGGCTTAAATGACTTATTCAAACGTAAAAGAAAAAATAAATAAAATTTGCCAAATGTATTTACAATTATTCATTCAGAATCATAGAAGACAACGGAGGTTCTTACATTTTGTTGTAATGACTGGGAGGAGACATTACACCCAATATTTCATCCATAAACGTAAGTAAATGTATTTTTTTCCTTTTTTTCTAAATATTTTAAGGTAATAAATCTTAGGTCGCTCCTTTTTTTATTTCTTTATTTTTCTTTTTTTTTTGTTACTCTTTTTTGAAGTGTTATTTTAGAATTTCTTCTATAAAATCGGATAAAAATTCAAAATTGTTTGTATTATATTAAAATAAATGAAAAAATATATTTTCTAAAAAAGAAAAAACCGAGTAATGGCAAAATAGGAAAAAACGGTAATGGAAAAATAGGAAAAAATACATTTATTAACACTATTATAACAAAATATAAGGACCTCTGTTGTCTTCTTGAAAATAGAGGGATCTGAGAGTTATTTCGACAAAACTCGCGTCACCCGTAAGTAATTTTCTGCCAATTTCGTCAATGACGAAAAAGAAGAACCATGTTAGGCATAGAGTACTTGCACGTACAAGAGACATATTTTATTTTTTCTTGACGAGATTGAGATTATAATTCAATTTAACTACTCCCAGCCTACTGCCCGAACAGGAACTGGCTGAGGGACTCCACAGATTGGGGGTTCAACAAGACAAACAATCATGCATCCCGTCTATAGCTAGAAAATCGGTCTGGTCGAGTTTGATTTTGGTTACTTTGGGTTTGGGTTTCACCCGGTTCGAGTTTGAAACTACAAAATACATGTTCATGACCAATTTCATTGAGTCTGGTTCGATCCAACAGATTATGAAATTTATTTGTTAAATACTTAAAATTAAATGACACTAGCACTTGGAAAGTATATTTACATTAAAAATAACAATACGTCAATATATTCGAACTTCCAAATTATATATAGTATTTTTCTATTTTAACAACTATTATACTCCAGTCATATCTTGTTTTTTAGTTTTTTAGCCTAGTTTTAAAAATATATTTTTTGGTTTTAAATTTCACATCAATGTTCAAATAAACAAAATCAAAACTAAGTTCATTTTAACATATATCACAAACAAATATATGAAATTTATTTAGATCTGAAGAAAGTATTTTGTTTATTAATTGAAAGTTTTGATTTATACGCGGAGACAAAGATATTGAATAATGAAAGAATGTAATCATAAAAACAAAGATCTATGCTTCATAATTGTATTCACTTAAAGATTGTCCTACCAAAATATTATTTTCATATTTTTACGTCTTAATTTAGATGGCATACTTTTTTGTGTTGGAATTTCAAAGTTGGGTAATAGAAGAAATTGGAAGGAGTTGAAATAAATATGAAGAAATTTGAAAAAGTAGGAGTTGAAAAAACTAGAAGAAATTGAAAGAAGTGTACAACAACAACAACAACCCAGTTAAATCCCACAAGAGTAGGGTCTGGGGAGGGTGTGTGTACGCAGACCTTGCCCCTACTCGAAAGTAGAGAGGCTGTTTCCAAAGAGACCCCCGGCTCAACGTCGAAAGTTGCATTGCTTGACTAAATGCTACTTCATTAATTAAAGAAGCGCAGACAGTTTAGAGATCCATTTTGATTTATTCCACCACACCCCAAAGCCAAAAAATGGTGAAATTTTGGCTCCATCGGAGAAGAAATTGAAAGAAGTGTAAAACTAAAAAAGTTGGAAGAAATTGGAAGAAGTTGGAAAAAAATTGGAAGGAGATGAAAAATGTTGAAAAAATAAAAAAACAAAAGAAAAAAAGGGGAAAAGAACTAAGCTAGGGGTAAATCGTGGAGAAAGTATCAAAATAGGAATTCTAGTGCTCCACGTTTTATCACCAAAACACAAGTACAGTACCAAAAATGTTAGGACATAGTACCAAAAATACAATGGGATGTCACTACACATTTCATAATGTTACAATGCTAACTCCTTTTTTGGACATAAAAATATGAAAATCTTAATTATTTTAAGAATAAATACTATGTTTACTCTTATTTGGGGTGATGAAAAAATGTTGAAATGATATTGTCTCTTTGAAATTTTATATTTTTATTAAAATACTTTATAATTAATTTATCTTTCGCTTTCTATTTTAAATAGCTCTAGTACCTCATGTAATTTGGAAATTGAGTACCAATAAATGTTTAGTTTTCAAAACTTATTTTTTAATTCCCGTAGTTTCAAAAAATTGAACACACACCCTCTTTAATTATCCGCCCGTTTTGGGCAAAGAATATAGCATTGGAGAAAAAATTTCAAACCACTAGGGCAGTACCTAGACCTGGCAAAACAGAACCGGAACCGATTACCCGAACCGAAATATCCGAAATCGAAACCGAAATGACTCGAAAAATGAAGATCCGATCTATAACCGAAAACCCGAAATGATCCGAATCGAACCGAAACCGAACTAAATAATTCATATCTGATTAAAATCCGAAACCGATAATATCCGAACCGATTAAACCCGAAACCGATTAGATCCGAACCCGATAATACCCGAAACCGATAAAATCCGAAACCGATTAGATCTGAAACCGATAATATCCGAACTCGGTTAGAACTAAAATCGATAAATTCAGAACTATATTTGCCTTTCAATAAACATATTATATTTTTAATTTTTTAATTTTATTTTACCATTTGAAAAAATTACATTACTTGCTCATTCCCTCATAAAATGGATTATCTTCTTGAAAAAAAGTACAAAAAATTATGCCTTAAATTTATTATAATTAATTTGATTATTTAGGGTTAATAATTTGATTAGTTTCAAACCA